GATTGATATGCATTAATTTTTGTTTTTTTGAGCTTGAGTTTATGTGAGATACCGGATGTATAAAAAAAAACACTAGGAACAGATGAGATATCAGAAAAAGTTCTAATGAAAGATAGAAAATGATATTAACTTAAGTTATATTTAAATAGGAATAGGCTCTTCTTAAATGTAAGGTGAAATGAATAATAAATCTTAAATTATTAAAAATAAAATAATCTTTCTATAAGTAATAGAAAACAATGTAAACACTTTAACGTATATAATTTTTAATTATAAAGTCGGATGAAAAAGTAAAAATATTATAATAGAGGCCAAAACAGCTGGTGGCCCCTATAGTAGTACTTTTTCACTGAAAGTGAAAATTTAGGTCGAACACATTACGAAATAGTTCGAAGGAAGATGTCAAGTTCTCTTATGAGTAATGCTAAAGGGTCTGGTAGAAAGGTTTTAAAACACTCAGAAGAAACTTGTGCTAAAATAAGCGTAGCAAAGCTTGGAAACTTGCCCTTCTCTTGTATGTCCGGAGGATAAGAACCCGAAAAGGGTCCTTTGGATGGCGTGCAAACTTTATAGGAAACTAAGAAAAATGATAGAAAATTTTTATCTCTAAAGCAATAGAAGTTCTGAATGTTGAAGTAGTAAAGAAAACTATTTATGATTATATTACTGCAGTTGCTAGAGCCTTAAACTTTATACAATTCGTAATTGTTTTATATATTAAAAAGCCTTAACCCATTTTATAAAGGTAGGTTTGTTTTCACCCTCATGCTTCTTGTCCTTCGGACATACAAAAGGAAAGAAATTATAATAATTTCTTCTTACTCCCGGGCTGCTGCTAAGCCAACCTTTTTTCAGGGCCTGCTTCGCAGGGGAACCCAAACAGCTGCTCCTCGGTTATACGGGAGGCACCTAAAGCTAAAGCGAGCGTCACCTCCTTTAAATATTGGGTATAATCAAAGTTAAACCTAAATCGAAAATTAAATGCGGAACCTCCTACTCCTCCTTATAATGCTAAGTTTCGCTTAAGAAATAGAAGAATTTAACTGGTTATTAGTAGAATCGCCTTCTTGTGCTTCGCACAAGGCAGAAAATATTTATCTCCTTTCAGCTAGCCATGTACTTTGCATTTAAAGGACCAATCTCTAATTTATATTAAACAAGTTTATATGCCATTACTCCAGACTATTGTTGTTACTTACATGAACCCTTCTATGCTGGCTGGCTTCGCAACAGCTCGCCAGCCAGCCACAAATTATTTCGGGGGGACGCATATTTAAGCGCCCCCTCAAAATTTAAACCAAATTAATAAGGGATTACGCGGATCGAGATGGAATTGGTTTACATCCAGTACTTAGGATACTGGGGCTTTTAGCCATGTGGGTTCAAGTCCCATCATCCGTAGCTTCATCTGTAATAAAAAAAAACCAAAATAGCCACAGCCTACTTATTTGGTTGGCGGAGCGGAGCAATGCCTGTTTTGTATGATTATAATCTTATTTATAAGAAAATATGATAAGATACATTTTAATTTATTTATGATGAGAGTAATTTGAACCAAAATTACTACTTCTTACATGCTTAATCGGTTTTTAATTAGAGGCATTGCTCCGCTCCGCATCACCTCCTAAATTTATTTCTATAAGGTAAAAATACTAATGTTTGAAATTAACTAAAAGGGAATTAGCTCAATCGGTAGAGCGATTGTTTTACACGCAAGTGGTTATAAGTTCGAATCTTATATTCCCTAATCCTTACTTATATAGTGGGCCCTTCGGATGCATAGCCCATTTTTTTATCATATCACTAATTTGTAGATTAGTTTAAACACTTAAAGGTATATCCCTATATCGAGCAGGAAAATGGACTACGTTGTGCTGTTGTGCTTGCTCTTGTCTCCTTGTCCTCCTGTTATACAAGAGCAAGCATTGCTCCCTTTAGGCAAGGCAAACCTTGGCAACCCATGTAAAATTTATTATTTACCCGGAGTATATATACTATAACTATTACATAACAAATAATTGGTAAGTCTTATGAATTGTTGGCAATATTCGGTGTAATCATTTATTATTGACAGAAGTTGGAGGAATAAGGCGGGCTGAAGCTTCGCTAGCCGTGTAAAATAACTAGTCTCTCTATGAATAAGTGCAAAATTTAAATAGGCAATTTTGATTATATTACTTATCCTCATTCTACATACTCAAATGTTTTATCATATAATATTAATCTTAGTGGAAAATCGTGTACATCTCCCCCCAAAAACCAAGGAGAGGTCTTCGAGATATTAGTGGCCTTCAAAATGGGCCACTTTTTGTGTCATCCGCGGGGGAGATAAACAAGATATTTAAAAGTATTTAGGAAGATTAGGGGCCTACGGCGGAGTCCTTATTAGAAATTAAAATGCTAATAAAATATGAACCAACAATTTTGTAGGTTAATACGGGCACTTTGAGCTCAAAATAACTTAATTTAACCGGGGTAGCTGTCTTTATCCTCCTTCCTCTAAAGATAGGAATAGAAAGGTTCAGTAGTTTCAAAGGAAAAGTTTTCATTGGTATCTCTTTTCCGATTAAAAGGTTTGTTTGAGTTTATTATTATTGTTTTCACCGTTCCTTCTCAAAGAGATGAATTGGCCGTAGGCCATGAAAGATTAAATTTGTTTTAATTGTTATTTCATGGCAATATTTCTATAAGTAACTTACCACTTAAATGGAACTACTTTAACTGTAAAGTCGAATGAAAAAGGTAATCTAGACGGACATGTAATTTCTTGACATAATATAAAAACGCAGGCATGGTAGCGTATAATAATCTTGATTCCAAATTAAAAAGATAAAACCGCTTCTAGCTCATGCTCCGCCCACCGCACCCTTCCAGCCAAATTCATTTGTTCTTTGGTTAATTTCTTTTGCTTTTGGTTGGCTGATTAAAATGTAAACTTTAGAATGGCTATACGGTTAATGGTAGCTATAAGGGGAGAGTACGCTCTTTTAAGCTCGCCTCCAATTAGTTCTCAATTTCAGAATACTATAAGCTAATTGCATAATAAACCCAGGTTCTAAATAATATAGAATACAAACATATAATATCCTTAGTGAGGAAAATGGATTACCTGGATTTACCTTAAATATCATAGAAGGTCGTAATTAATCGGATTTATCTTTGTATAAATGAGTTAAAAAGTTATAATATTGTTAAATTTATTATTTTCATATCTATATTAGGACTTTTATCTATTAATTTAAATCCTAATGAGTTGCTGGCTTTATTAGTGATGATACGAAGGGTGCGGAGCATTGCTTCGCACCGCACCACACCGGGTTTTTATCACTTTATAAAAAAATCAAATGTATATGCTGTATATTTTATTTTTACTCAATATTCACTCTGAGGCGAAGCCTATACCTATTAATGAACAGTTTAGTTAATTCTTGCTTCTATAAGTAAAAAGTAAGATATAAAGGAAACACCTTTAATAAGCAAAAATAAGTCATATTTTTAATTATGGTTGATTGTCAAAGGAAATAAAAAAAGTGGATTTGATAGAAATACGAAGTATGGAAACAAGAAAAAAAATTAGGTAAGTATTTTTTTAGTAAGGTTTTTGCTAGTTCGATTATAGGATGGGATTATGCTTTTTGTTAGTAGCACATTTTTATTATCAATCAATGCGGCCACTTTTAGATGCATTGCGGCGGGTATGCCGCCCATTTAGGAACGCACGCACGCAAGAGAAAGAAAATAATTATTTATAGTAGCTCTTCTTATTCTGTAGCCCTATGTTATCATCAAGTAAAGGAATAGATACATATGAGAGTTTATTTCATTCAACATACATAATAAATAGTTTTATGTATAATAGGAACTATATTATTATTACTAATAAATATTTACCTCCAGACGTTTACAAGGGCCAATGGGATCTAAGGGAAAGTTCTTTTTAATTAATAATTTTTTATCTCTTTAATTAGGCATACTTTTCTGGCTACTTGATCCCTCCTTCTATTGTTTGCTTGTTCCTGTTATTATTTTTAGTGGCTTAATTAAGCCGCCCAAATTAAAAATATAATAAAGGAAAATAAGGAATTTACTGTGAAGAAATTTAATGGAAAATATTATATTGGTTCTTTCTATATAGGGTTAGCCATGCCTAAAGGGAGCATGAGCCTACTTCCTTACAAAAGCTGGTTCTCTTTTAGATTTCAAACATTCAGCATAAACTGTTTTAAATTTAAGGAAAAACTCTTAGCAATGAAACACGAGAAAAAAAATATCAGATAAAATAACGGGCTACGACTGCTCCTTGTACTCTGGACATACAAGAGAAAAGAATCCTATGTTTGGAAAACCAAAACCCTAAGTATCAGGAAAACCGACTTAAAAATTGTTAATTTTTTATCTATCTAATAATAAGACGACTACTTATGATTCAATAAGTGCAGCTGCAATAGGTTTAGAGTAAAATAAGAAAGTCTATCCAGATATTTATCCTCCGATAAACTCAAAGCTTCTTTTAATAAAATATCTGTAATCAAAATAGTAGATTAGCTAATTTTTTTTATTTTGCAACATTGCTTTTATAAATAATTTCCGGTTGTGTTAGTAAACTGTAATACTTAAAAAAGAGGAATTTAAATTTGAAATTCGGTAGGAAAGAAAATCAAGTTGAAAGGCAAAATTTAACTTCAAGGCGTGCTTCTTGTTTGTGAACAAACAAACAAAAATAAAAGAGAATTGACCGAGCTTGGTTTAAGGTGATAAACTTGAAATTTATTTGGCTAAAATAGCTACATCCGTTCAAATCGGATATTCTCTGTTAATATTTTATCCCTAGTGTTATTATACTAGAGCGACTATTTTATTGGATTTTTTTGTTTTTGTCTTCTTTTTTAAGGCTTTTATTAATGTATTTAAATACAAAGTGGATAATCTTTGCTCACAGTGCAATTAATATTATATTATGCTAGACATACACTCATACCACAACAACCTGTAATATGAGAAATGCCTCTTCGTGGCTTACAGGACTAGTAAATTAAATTAATTTAAATTAATTTAATCAAAGCTAAATTTCTTTTTTATCTTTTTATCAAATAATTATTAAATAGGCTTAAATGCTTTCTTTCAAGAATATAACAAGTCCAATGGATCAGTTTGAGGTCAGAAATTTACTTAGTTTAGATGTACCATTGTTAGGTAATATTAATATGTCTATAACCAATATAGGGTTATATTTAATAATTGGTGTTTTAATAGTATTATCTTTAAACCTTTTTTCTACTAATAACAATAAAATAGTTTCTAATAACTGATCAATTTCCCAAGAATCAATCTATGCAACAATTCATAGTATAGTTGTGAGTCAAATAAATGCAGCTAAAGGTCAGATCTACTTTCCTTTTATTTACTCACTATTTATATTTATTCTAATTAATAATCTTTTAGGTATGGTAGAAGCGAGCCCATACGATAATATTGATAATATCTTTACGTTAAGTAGTTTACTTATAAGCAACAAAAAGGGTTAAAGGTAATTCTTATTCTGTTAACTGTAAATATTCTACTAGCTCTTCTTATAATAATAATAGTAAGGGTAGCCTTATTACCTTACTGGATTTATAGACGCTCTCGCTAAACAAACCTTTTATAAGCATGCTTTACTCCTACTCACACAAGCATTGAATAAAAATAATTTTAGTACAGCGGTTATAAAAGAAAAGAATAAGTTATCTTCCTGTACAGATTTAGTCGTCAGAGGTAAAAATTTTCCATCTTTAGTAGGTATAGGAAGACTAACTAAAGTAGAAAGAGAGATGATTAATTTACCTCCTTTTCAATATTCTATTATAGTAGGATTGTTGTTATCTGACGGATGACTTATTTTTGCTAGTTAAGCTAATAAAAATGCAAGATTAGGGTTTAAACAATCTTTATCTCGTTCTGATTATGTTTGATTTGTATTTAACTCATTATCTCACTATTGTAGTACTAACCCTTATTTAACTAAAGGTATAAGAAATGGTAATCGTTTTTATGGCCTAGAGTTCGTTACTAGATCGCTACCATGTTTTATTGAGTTATATTATCTATTTTATGTTAATAAGGTTAAAACAGTACCCCATAATATATATGATCTATTAACTCCTGTTGCTTTTGCCCATCTAATTATGGAAGATGGTTCTGTTTAACGACATGGCTTAATAATATGTACTAATAGTTATTCAATAGAAGATGTTGTTCTATTAATGAATGTTCTTATAATTCGGTATGAGTTAGAATGTAAAATACGTGAAAAAGACAAAATAAAAAAATTGAATATATGATTTATATTAGACAAGGTTCTATGGCTAAGTTACATACAATACGTGGGACTATATATGCATCCTTCATTTTTATATAAAATAGAAAAATAAAATTTAAGGTTGTTTTAATTTGACTATTTGCTATTGCTTAGTGTGGTTCGGCACACTAAAAACTCTCCGTCTTATCATCAAAAATATATAAAAATAATTATGCATGAAGTTTTACCAACGCATAACAAGTCCTTTATATTAGTTTGAGGTCAGAAATTTACTAAGTTTAGATTTACATTTAATAATGTCATTCTGCATAATATTAACATGAAATATTTTGGAAACAAATTACACTAAACTCGTTGTTGCTCTGAATATGAAGATTTAAAGCCTTATGTCCCATGTAAATT